GATAAGTTTAAAATGCGTTGTTTTAGAGCTCTTTTATAAAAACTACTTGATTTTCGTCAGGAGGAACATTCCCCATTGTATTAACCAGTGAAGCATTAGAGATCAGTTATAAACCCAACAAGTAAGATCGTTAAGATAAACTATTGTAATTGCTTAAAAATAAGTAAATCTATTTATTTTTATTAGTCCAGTACACCACAAAATATTAATAAAACACCAAATGAAACATAAAGACAATATATTAAAAAAAAAGAATAAGCATAAAGACATTCAACACTAATGATCAATGTCAAGTACAAGTTAAGTCAAGTACCAAAGTACCAAATATTAGGTCAAGTAGTACATTATATAATTGTGATAAAATCCAAATGGCAAGCCAAGGAAGTTCAAATTAAAAAAAAGACATGTACAAACACTAGAGTAAGTTATGAACATTAAAATAAATAATAAACGACTATTCAGAAGTTTAATGAACAATCTCTGGATGAAGTCGTCTGATTACCATTTTTTTTAAATTTCAAATGTGACAAATGAAAAAGATCAAGTTCTGAAACGTATGTATTGAAATTTTTCCGAAGTCTACAACTTATTGCCATGGAGCCATAGTTAGACTTGTAGAATCGCAACCCAAATGAGAAAATGTGATTACTTCTTAAGGTTCTTGAGTTAACAAGGAGGGTTAAAAGGAGACTATGTTGAAAAATGAAAAAAAACTGAAAGAACTTTTCACACCACCCTCGTATCATTTTTTGTTGTTTGGCTGAAAGAATGTTTCACCTACCGCGTGTTAATTAACACAGCATGAACAATAGATTGATCGCGATATGAGCATAATGTATAACGTCAATGTAAATGAAATCTGACATTTTGTTACAAAAATCATGAATGTAGAACAAGAATTAAAACATCAATGTTTTTCAGAAGATGAACAGGGTAAGTGAGTTGTGAGCGTGATCTATTACTATTAGATTAGGTTCTTCAACTCATTTTCATGAATCATTCATTAACCAAAATATAAAGTCTGTTTTTTATGCATGGGTTTTTCATTAACACGTTTTTAACTGCATGTTTTTGTGATAACATTTTTTTATTATTTTGCATTTATATTACATGTTCATGTCACTATTATCATTCTTGACAGCTGATTGAATAGATATCATTGTCTATTGTTTGGAACGGACATTCTTCAGATTTTAGAGGATACGTTTAGGACTTCAACCTTGCATCTTCAGCTAGAAGTATAAAATTTGTAATTTTAATGTAATGTGTCGAGTTTCATAATCAAATCCACTCTGTAAATCCCATAAAATACCGTCTGTATGTAAAATCGAACATATCATATTTTTTCCATCATATCAAATTAATCACACATATACTAACTCATGAAACTCTGCCTCTAGTGATGTTTTGAAGACATCAGTAACTTCAAGAAAATACTCCTTACTGACTGAATGATCATGTGGCAAGAACTCCTGATACACTACGTTACGGTAGTTAAAAAAAAAAAGTAAGCGAAATTCCCCTGTAGACCTCTATTTGCAGAGTTGAATATCCTGCCATTTGTCTGCTTGTATCTACTGGAAGCGATNTGTGCATATTTTTTTTACTGCCTAATTTATATTTTTCATATTATAACGTTTTTTAAGTTTGCTGGTTGTATGAATATTATTTTTAATCAGTATATTCTGACAGATATGTAATTCAGAGATGGATTTGATGTGAAAGAAACGACCTACATATAAATTTGACATATTTCATCCTTCTAGTGCAAGGTTGAAGACAGTCAGTGCCTTTACATACCCACTATTATGAAAATTATCACATGATCTCAATGGAATTTGACTCTGTATTCATTACATTTCTTTTTCACATTTGTTTGATACTACTAAATACTTTGAGGCATGTGTACTCTGATTATTTTGAAATATAATTGCTATAATTGGTGAATTATATACGAAAATTTTCAATTCTTTGAAACTTCAAGTAGACTTTTCAACTTTCTGGAAATGTTTGGATTATTCAGGCATATTCGATGTCTTGTTTTTATTGGAAATACTATTTCAGCTAGATAATTGTTGTCTTGTGTTCGTGTAGTTAAGTATGATTTATTTTCAGTAATGAGAGGTAACTCAAAGGATGGCATGACCCATGAAGAAATGAGAAAACTGATTGAGAGGTCAGTAGAATGTAACATAACCTTCCTTAATGGTTATTCCAATCATTTCTCTTCATCAATTATCATTTACGTCTATCAAACCATCTGAATTATTTTTGATTACTATTCATGAACTATCATGATGTAAAAATCTGAAAAAAAAATACATTAGAATTCACATCTATCATTAATAAATATTTTCAAAATCATAATCCATTCAATTCGTAAAATTAATTTGAGTTCAGTAGTTTTTTATAACCCTGTAGGGGGAGGGGTACAAAAAATTATATCTACTGAACATATAATACTGTCGGATACGTTTTTAAATAATTTATTCCACTAATTCTGAAATATATCTTTTAAACATGTGTTAAAACCGCTTGATTTTAGTTGTTATGATTTATTTTTTGTGATGTTTCAATTATAATAATTTCGAATTATTGAATGAAATAAATTGAAGGTCGACTCTTTCAGTTGTATTGCCAATTGCGTACACAGGAAATTTTCTGTGAAGATTCCTGCACTGACGCCTGTCAGATATAATCCAACATCCTTCGTGGTATTAGCCAGGGGAGTAGTTGTTTTCTGATAGCCGTCAGTCCATTCAATCTACTGTGTAGGTATATCCAAGACTGGCTTGAACGTTTAAAGTTCATTTTTTTAGATTTGTTTACTGCCTGTTTTCAAGCATATCCCACTGACTAATAACAAAGTTTTTTCTTCCTCTTTCAGAAGAATCATGCAAATTTCGGATATGCAGTTGGTTAGTATCTCGTCCACTAGATGGAATGACATTTTGTTGTTCACTCCAACTTAGGAAGAAATGAAATACTATGAAAGAATCCCGATTTTCTATTATGGAGTGTCATTGACTTTAGGTCGATGATGGCCACAATCTTGCACTGACGAGTGGCTAATGAGCCCGAAACTGGTCTGCAAGTGTGCCCGTTCCAGAATTGAAGGTCGACTCTTTCAATTGTATTGCCAATTGCATCTGCAGGAAATTTTCTGTGAAGATTCCTGCACTGACGCCTGTCGGATATAATCGAACGCCCTTCGTGGTATTAGCCAGGGGAGTAGTTGTTTTCTGATATACCTACTGTGTAGGTATATCCGAGACTGGCTTGAACGTTCAAAGTTAATTTCTATAGACTGGAATTTGGCTTCGGTTTTGTATTATCATTGGTGGAAGTGGCTTCCATTCTCCTAATTGGATCACCTGACCTTGTTTGTGTACAATTAAGAACAGGTAGCTCTTTTATGGAAAACCACAATTCGTTAAAATGTCCCCAAACTAATAATGTCATGTCCTGCTGTGTAATAGCGGCAGTATGGAGAACATCTGACTTTACTGTTCCCCATAAATAAAAATCCACTGATGTCAGGTCTGGCGGCCAAGGAATGGACCTTGCTTGTCTAATTCACTTATCAGGAAACATTATATACAACTTCTCTTGTACTTACCTCAAAAAATATGCTGGAGCCCCATCGCATCGAACTGAAGCCATATTTCATTTTTGAGGTGATGAGGTAAGTGTTTGATCAACCTAGGAAAGACTTCTCTGTGGAATCGAAAGAACTTTTGTCGATTCAATTCTTGTTCTAAAAATATGTCTTGGAACAATAATGTCGCTACAAAGGTTGTTTCTCAAAAGCTTGGAACTCTGTTCCGAACCAGAAAACTGACCGCTCTGACAGCACCTTGAGGACTTTCCTGTAGTGCTTGTGTTTGGTCCTTAAAAAAATTGTCCAGAATACCACCCCATACATTGAAACTTAGTTCATGTTGATGATCATTAACATGCAATTTATATGGACTTCCAGTACTATGATAATGGGCCTATCAACAAACTATTTCTGTGGAAGGTACTTTAGTCGGAGAATAGCTCCTCAGAAATCTTTCATTTTCCAACTTCAGATCTGCCCCCATACATACCCTCAAGTTGCTGGATTCCATCCAGAATAGAGCCATCCGCCTGATTGGAGACGCGAATATCACTTGCAACCTTGATAGTCTGGGACATCGAAGAAAGATTGGAGATTTGTCTCTCTTCTATAGATACTTTCATGGGAAGTGTTCAAGTGACTTGGCACATTTGTCTCCACCATGAGTGGTACATATCAGAAATACGCGACGTCCTGTGGCTACTCATTGTTTTGAGTTTCAACTCAGTACACCTCGAACTTCATTGTTTAAAAACTCTTTCGTCTGGAAAACTGCGTTTATGTGGAATAAACTTGCTGAGAACGTTTTTCCAAATGGATTTAATCTCCAGCGATTCAAACCCAATATGAATCGCTACTTTCGCACAGGCACCGCTCTGACAGCACCTTGAGGATTTTCCTGTAGTGCTTGTGTTTGGTCCTTAAAAAAAATTGTCCAGAATACCACCCCATACATTGAAACTTAGTTCATGTTGATAATCATTAACATGCAATTTATATGGACTTCCGGTACTATGATAATGGGCCTATCAACAAAATATTTCTGTGGAAGGTACTTTAGTCGGAGAATAGCTCCTCAGAAATCTTTCATTTTCCAACTTCAGTCTTTACTAATTGGTGACACACTTAGAGATCTTAGAGGAGATTTTCTGAAATATTTTGCAACTTGGTAAAAACTGAAGTTGGTTATGGCACTGTATACAAATGAAAAAAAAAAACTGAAATATGACATTACTTCTTTATACAGTGCTTTTCTTCAACGTCCCTCCCCCTTCAATTTTTTGAAGGGGTCAACTCAAAAAATTGAAATTTAGGATAATGAAATTGATGCATGAATACTTTATTTTGAAGTGAAATTGACATATGAAACTTCCAAGATGGCGACAGGGCGCCATCTGGGAAAAAAATTAAATGGAAAGGGGGGCATTCAACGAAAGTCATTTTTTGAGGAGGAAAAATCAGTTTTTTATCGACCTTTTTTGGGGGTCTTGTGACACATCTTTTTGAAGCTACTGACAAATTGCTTCACAACCCTAGAATATAATGTCAATATCTTCAACTACTACAAAATGGTGGAACTTTAAATAATTGCCTGAATACATTGACATTTAACTACATAATATGAGGTAATAAGCTTGAGGTCAGTTCAGAAGATGCTCAAAATGGATGCTCCATACAAAAACTGAGTGTCCAGAAATAATTGATCTTCATTCAGTTATTGGAAAAAGTGCAAGATTTCATGAATTTTTGGAAAGAGTCTTCTATATCAGCTCAGCGGTTTCAACACATGATTTAGGATTGATAAATTGTGAACAAACTTTTTGAATACTTTCCTTTTAAAAATATATTTTCTGGGATCAGTTTCAATATTCCATAGAAAAAAGAATTTCAGTAAAATGAACCATAATAAATCAAATGGTGACATTCTAATTCTTGACTGCCTCAGGGCACATACAGGAGTTGTGTTATAATAGTTTCATGATTGTGAATGAAATAGATTAATTCGCTCATTTATTTCATGAATTCCTCTCAAACAGGAAACTGTAAGTCAGCACAGTAAATTCGCTTCATTTTGTGATAACTCTTTGTGTTTTTGTGTGCATCATTTTATGTTATAGATTAGTATCACTTGGTGTTTGTGAATGCCCACGTGAATAATATCTTAACACCCAGCTTTTTGTGTTCTTGAAGAGATTTCCTTGTGAGCTTTGACAGCACTGCGAGAAGCCAGAATAATCATGTTCGGAATTTGTTTTTTATCTGATAAATCATCAGAGACGGAGCTCAACTAAAGTTTCTCTGCCGAATCACCTGTAATTTAGACGCCAACAACATCAGGGAAATGGTTTCCTTGTCTCGAAAAAGGTTTTTTAATTTGTGAAATATTTCCCTTCAACTAATTTGACGAGGATCCCTACTGTGTTATTCATTTATACGTTATTGTCCGAAGAAAAAAATGTTTGGTTACTTTTTCAGTGTAACAAAATAGGAATACATTGTTTATGTATTCTTTTAAGAAATCATTAATACACGAATAAAATAAAAATAGAGTAGATTTTACCTCCTCATGGTGCCAACTTGCTTAGTGAAATGCGGGCTTAGAATAATTTTGCGGTTCTGAGTGACAGAAATACAGTGTGTAACAACGAAAACTTAACAGAGCCGTTTTTGAATATATAAAGTAAGATTTTCAAAAAAGCTCGGACACGTCGATTTCTAATTGAAGGGGGACACCTTTCAGACTAATCAGATTTTTTGTAGTACGCACCCCCTCAGAGAGGTGCGTCCGACGACCTTTATTTAGATGGGGAAAGTAGGTCGAGTGGCACCTTGTTTTAAAGGTCTTTCGAATACCTTCACAACTCTGTTAAAAGAAAATTTTTGTAACGATTAGTTTTCGAGATAATTTGAAGTTAAAATTGCCATGTTGATAATANCCTTTAAATCTTCAAATTATCTCGAAAACTAATCGTTACAGATTACAGAGATATAAAGGTATTCGAAAGACCTTTAAAACAAGATGCCACTCGACCTACTTTCCATATCTGCATAAGGGTCGTCGGACGCACCCCTCCGGGAGGGTGCGTACTACAAAAAATCTGATTAGTCTGAAAGGTGTCCCCCTTTAATTAGAAATCGACGTGTCCGAGCTTTTTTTAAAAATCTTACTTTTTATATTCAAAAACGGCTCTGTTAAGTTTTCGTTGTTACACACTGTATTTATATAGTATTATTTTATTGTGATGTATTCGAGGGTAGGGAATTGAAAATCCACCAAAATGTTGAGGCTTTTGACTTTTTTGTTGAGCTCCCTTTGAAAAGACAAACGAGTTTCATGATTTATTTCAATAACCTCGGGATTAATGAGAAATAACCTTGAAGCAACCTAATATTTTTTGAGATTGGCTTACTCAGAATTTCTGTCAAATGCCTGTGGGGGTCTCTAATGATTCAATAAGTGTGCCTCTTTTGAATTTAGGATTTTTTTAGAAACGAAACAGGGCAAGCCAGCGCAGCAAACGGCGGACTCACAGCCTACGATACTATGGCAGTGTAACTTGTAAGCAGCGAAGAATCAAGATTTTGACCAATGCATCAGTTAGAGATCACTCCTTGATTTATCAGTTTGTTTTTTTGACTTTCAGTAAATTTGAACAAGAATTGATTTCTTCAAAGGAGTGACCTCTAAGCTTTTTCGACTCATACTGAATACTCATTAAAATTTTTTGAGACTGATATTTCGCGGCATCAATTCTTTGGTTTTGGCTAGCATCAACCTTACTCAATTTTTGAATATAACCGCCATCGTGAGTATTCAGTGTGATTTTTTTATGTACCAAATATTTGTTTAAGTCTTTAATTTTTGGTTTGGAGTTAATTTTTGGGCCGTAAGAGCCGCTTATACGAATACGTACACATTTTGCCAATATTTTGGTAACCGTAGGGTCCTCAATTTATTTGTTATATGGTGGCTCAATGTGTCATGTGATATTTTGTGGTTTGTGAATGATTTTTTGGGTTAATGGTCAGGACGTTTGGGTTTTCAAGTCTACAGGTGTTGTCATAAGTGCGCAGTTTCAGAAATTGATCATACTGTAGATTTTTTTGTATAGTCATGCTATTTGTTTATTTCTTTGCTTTAATAGGTTGTTTTTGTTTCCCGTTTTGAGTAGTTTGTAGTGAACAGTTGGCGATATGATTAGTTATTTTCATTATAAAACTGTTTGAAGGTTGTGCGTCGCCAACTTGTAATTATATAAATGCTACGCAGAAATATATATATAGCTATAAGGGGTGAGCATTAACAGTCATGATATTTCCGGTCCGCATAGCTATTTTTGTCTTCTTCTGCATTTACAAATGAGTTCAGGCTGTTTGATTGCTCATCACCTATTATATTTTTTTCTCGTAGGAGAAATTAGGAAAGAAATTATTGAGTTTCAAATTCCATGAGATATATCATTGTCTTTAAATCCTTGCATGTGAATTAACTATTGTAGATGTTGAAAAATGATTATTCGAGGTGAAAGCAGAATAATACAGCAACATTTTTTTAATTTGCAATTCTAATCGTATGTCTCAACGTTATCGATTCTAATGATCGATCATAATACTCAGCAGGCAGATAACTGAAAGCTTGCGGTTTCTTTAACCTCCTTAGGTATAAGTAGATATAGATGTAATTTATCAATTTTAACCATGTTGGTGGCATTTTAGACTCATCTTAATTTCACAAAATTCGATAATTTCATTAGCAGCTGGGCCATGACACAAATGATATTATTTGATTTTTAAATACCATAAATGTAATGTGACACATAATTTTTGATTATAGTCCATCTGACTACAATCCGGATCTGTAATAAGCAAAGTTCAATCAAATGTCGAAATATTTTCTTTTAAAAACGTTATTTGCTTAGCGTAAATTGTGAACAATCCTATCGATCAAAGAATGTAAACTTTCACAGCCGTTGATAACTATGTGAAAGTTTTTTCCGTTTTTTTTCACCGTGGTCTGCAGGTTTCTATGCCTGACGTTTCGTCTACTACTGCGGTAAACATCAAAGGCGATGAGGTAACGGCCGAAGTGTTCATCTACCGCAGTAGTAGACAAAACTTCAGGCGTAATAACCTGCAGACCATGGCCACAAAACCCAGGAAATTGCTTTGAAACAATCTTATTGATGATTCAATATTCATTATTCATTATTCCTACCATCATAGTTGATTTTATAGTCTCCAGGAATGGTTGTGTTGAAATTTAATTTCTTCTGATATTTTCAAAAATTGTGTATCACATGTAATCAGGTTTTTCCACTAGTGTCATATTAAATTATCAAAATTAATTTGTCTTGTTGGGTAAAAGTGGTCAAATTGAACTTTCTTAGCTACATTTTTCAGTGGAAATTGCTTAGACTAATAATTTATTGTTCGAAGTTCCTAAGTAGCGTGCAGTTTGATTTGCTAAATAAACTACAACATATTCGATTATTTGTCATTTTTGAAATAACCTAGTCATTCATTCGAATATTTTTGTTAATAACATCTTGCAAAAAGTGGCAAATAATTTTTTTGTGATAATGGTTTGAAATGCCATTAGTAACTGTATTGTAAGTGTGCTATATATCCAGTAGTTTTAAGTGATAACTATAATATCTTCAAATATCTTATAGTAATACTTGATAATCTATTGTTTTCAGCAATATTCAATCATATGATTCATTAATCCTTTTGTACACAATTTTTCCTATTTAATCTTATATTCTTTATAATTTGGAATGTGGCGTTGCAAAAATTTGGAGTGTGTTTTATACGAGTTTGCCATTTTTGACACTCTAATTTCTGAATGCTTATATACCAAAGTTTTGGTTGAATATACAAAATAACTATACATTCTGTTTTTTGTTACCTACTCCATTAAGATTACCGAGTATTCAAATACCGAATAAGGCTGCATGTCTCAGAGAAAATGAAAAATCTAGCATTACCTTGTACTAGTCAAATGTCAATATTCTGCAGAATTTGTAAAACGTGAAACTCTCAAAATTAATAAAAATAAGAAAGCAACATGAACGAATAATCAACTGTATTTGTTACAAATATAAAATCTTGAAAAAATCACTTCAGGAAATTTGAATTTTAGTTGATGTGAAACTTTTCTAGTTCAACTTCTTCTTAGGAGCGTGCCATGTTTGATCCTAACATAATGAACATGTAACAACACACTGAGACTAGCCTGAACGAATCGTTCTTTAAAATAATTAGTTAGTATTACATTTTGAAGTTCAACAGAATAAATGTAAAACTTACAGTTGTTGAGGTTGGCTGTGTCAAATAAGATGTGAAATTTATAAAATATTTACATGTCAGTATAATCAAACAAGTAACCAAGTTTGAATAGCTTGGATTTCTCACACAATGATTACATGAAATTTCTTGATGGATCTTCAAAATATAATTTACAGGTAGAAGACCATGTGTTTGGTACCAAAAAGAGATAGAGAGACAAGAAACATGGCAGTGACATCTGTCACATCTCTGTCATTTTCCTCTGTAGCAATGGTCTTGGTGTTTTCGAAGCTTATTGTGTGGCCTGTTTCCTGGTGGTGTTTGAAGAGAGATGATGCTGGATCTGATTTGCGAACAGCTAGTTCATGTTCATAGGCTCTGTTGGAAATTCTTCTATTGGTCTGGCCGATGTAATTTCTGGGACAGTTAGAACATGATATTTTGTATATTCCCTGTGCTTTATTGCGTATCGTATCTTTGGGTGTTCTTAAAATAGTGTAGACTTGGTTGTTGACTGTGAATACTGCCTTTACGTTATGTTTCTTCAGAATTCTGCTCACTTTGTCAATAACTCCATGGATGTAGGGGAGAAAAGCTTTTGTCTGGGAAACGACTATCCCGTCTCCCAAATACAAAGATCCATCCAACAACAGCGAACACAAACCCCACCCCACGAGTTACCCGAGGAACAGACTAACCATATGGAAAATATCTTTGGGTGATGTCTTTTACCGGTAATCCATAATTTTAAACAAAAAACGATTTTTTAGTAAATTTTAATTCAATATTCTTTGTATCCAGTGAGAAGTCAACCTCTTTTAATTTAATGACTTGTTTATTGTATCGACATGTTTCATTTGTTTAAATGTAACATTCTTTTCAACACGCCCAACCTCACTAACACTTTACCCTGAGATGATAAAAAATGTTATCGAAATATTGAAATGACTTGTGCTATAAGAGATATTTATGTGATGTTGATGTTCCAAACCAAACACGAAAATAACAGAAAAAGTAAATGACTATGAAAAAGAAGAAGACAAAAACCAAAACGGGATATACAGTATAAAATGCTCTGACTGCAACAAATTCTATATCGACCAAACCAAGAAAAAACTGATCCAAAGGTACGATGAGCACAAAAAGGCATACATAAACCCAATAGTATATAAATCAAACCTCGCAACACACGCCATACAAAACAAACATANTTGAACCAATTCAATACAGTTCCCCGTTTACTCATGGCCTATAATTTAAAATAAGAGTCTTAAATGTTCGTTTTTAATCCAAGAAAACTGCTACAACAAATCTACCAGCATCTTTGTGATTTTTCCATTTAGATTGATGAGCTGCAGAGATAACTCGCTTGAGTCATCTCTGAAGCCAGATTGGTGCCACATCGAAATATTATTAGTTTCAAGATACTTATATGATTGTTCATGAACTACTAGCTCCGAAACATTTTCTATCGAGAAGAGTGTATTAATTGAACAAAATTCTGAGGCTTTCATAGTGTTTGTTAACAACTCTATGTATGTAGTTTTTATCTTACCAGGAAATTAACTATAATGAAGTGATAAATGAATGCAAAAGTATGTGACCAACCATAAAGGCAGCTTTATTTGAAATATTGATCTCATAACAATCTACAGTAATATTTCATGATCGCTAACACTCGAGTTCATAGAATTAATTATATCCTCAATATTGTTTATAGAGTAGTCATTAAAATAATTAGTTATTTTACTTCGGGACACTACCGATTTAGTCTGACCAATTTAGTAATTAGTTTGGCCCACCACAAATTCTTCACCACTACTGAAAACAAATCAGTTTACTTTATCATTAACTAATGATTTTATTTTCATATTGGATGGACTATTTTCATCGAAAAAAAGTTGGAGATCTCTCTGTCTTCATACTGTCACGGGAAGTGTTCAAGTGACTTGGCACATTTGATTCCACCGAGAGCGGTACATATCACAATTACGCGACGGACTATAGCTGCTGATCGTTTCGAGGTTCAACTCAGTACACCTCAAATTTCACTGTGTAAGAACTCTTTCATTTGGACAACTGCATTAATGTGGGATCAACTTCCTGGGATCAATTTGTATACATTCAGATTATCTCAGATATACTATTTGGAAAATCCCAATGTGAAAGATTTTTCTGAATTCTCTCATTTTTAAACATAAAATCAAACCAAGAAACACCACAAGATTGATGCCAAGACAAACTAATCACAACATCCTCAACTTCTACCTTGAAATCATTATATATTTCACATTCAGATATTCGAATAACCCTGTAGATCAACATTTTGATTTTATACATCACAAGATTGTTTCTACTAAACTCTCAACTGAACTGCAGACTACTCGAATGTATATCGCCTTATTAGATCACTTCGTACCGCACTCTCAACTAGACTTGAACCAGCTGCCTGTTGGTAGTATTTATATATCGTAACGTAAGTCTCAGAAAGCCGATAGGGAAGTCTCTAGAAGCGACGCGACATCTAGAACGATCGCACTTAACGCAAGTCGAGTTAAGCGCGACCTTGACCAAGTCGTTTGGCGAAGAGCAGCGGCGGCCGGCGTTATTTTGTTTCAGGGTATAATTTACAACACTATAAAATTGTTTGTGTTGCAGGTGGATGTACAGAATACTTCTTTGTAAAACGGGACCTCATGCAGGATATTAGGATGATCGGTCTGGAGTCTCTGAATTTATTTCAATAATTCATCTTTCCATGCTGGTGAAAGAACACATTCTTTTTCAACGATTTGATTTAATGAAGTGAACAAAAGTTTTCAAAACGAAACAAAAAAATCAATATACACTAACAAAAACTAATAACTTGTAATGTATAAAAAAAGTGTACTTACATCATTAGGCCTAGATAAATATTTATACGAAAACACTGGCAAGAACACTGGAGTATGTGAACATTTTTATATGAGAATTGTGACAGAAAATCTCTGTTCTTTTTCAATATTTCAGGTGATTTGAATATGTTAAGTCACCAGTTTTGCAAACTTTAAGTAGTCACTTAAGTTCCATAGTAAAACCTTTAAATAAACAAATATAAAATAATATAAAAGTGATTACTATCAAACTGAAAATAAATATTATTATGATGGCAATAAAGTCAAAAAATCACATTCTTGGTTCCTTTGAAACAATATGTACTGTAAGTAATGGTGTTCACACTAAACCTGCATCTTTAGACATACTATAAAATATTGAATTTTCATCTTTCAATAAATTGCTTGGTGTATCAAACTCAATGATTTTTCCTTTATCAAGTACTATGACACGATCAGAATCCATAATAGTATTTAATCTATGTGCTATAGTGAGTACTGTACAATTACTAAATTCGGTTCTGATCGTCTTCTGGATGAGATCATCAGTTTCCAGGTCAACAGCCGCCGTTGCTTCATCCAACAGTAACACTTTTGTCTTCCTGAGTAGAGCTCTGGCTAAACAAATCAACTGTCTCTGGCCAACTGAAAGATTTTCACCTCCTTCTGTAACTTCGTGATTGAGACCTGCATTCAAACCTGAAAACATGTTACCACATAATTATAAGAGTTTTATCGATTAGATATGAAATTTTACCAGATTTGTTAACTAGTAAATTTCACCAAATTATAAACGTAATTGATTTAGGTTTTAGGTATACGGGGGCNAGGTTCTCCAGGGAAATTTCTGTCATTTCAATATATTAGTGGGATGTTCAAAAATAAGATGAATGTTCAAATTTCGCGGGCTGATTACATTCGATTGGTGATTTTTTAATTTTTTCATGTTGGTATACTCTTCTCGAACATATGTTCACAGTTTCAGCTGCATAACATGTTTAATTTGTTGGTGAGAGGCATAAGAGTTAGAATTGTTTTGCGTTTTCGGCGATTTTGTGCTATCGAAAAATTTGCATCAAATTATGTGTGAGAAATGAAATCAAGTGCTCAAAAACACTTGAAATGTTGATAGGGGCATCATTCATTATATGACATAATTCGTATGACATAAAAAAATTGTCACGAGATTTACCTTTGTAGATAACAAGAATATAGTATGTAACTTGATCTTGACATAAGCGATTCTAAGGAAAAGAATGTTTTTTTTTTATAAAATAGGTAAATTCCGCGACAAGCTTGAGTTTGGTCTAATATATAGGTTATGTACTTCTGCTTAGACTGCAGTTACTACGGCCCGCGTTGCAATATGTCACAGAAAGAAGAATCATGATTTTTGGATTTGAGATATTGATGACTTATTTATTTTGTGGAAATTCATCTTCAATTAGATATAGGAATAAAATACTTTGTCTAGAGTAGTGTTGAACACTTGAGAATAGTGTAAAAACCGAAACTGTGGTCGTAATATCAATACATTAAGTAAGTAAGTGGAAATTAAACAAAGTATTTTATTCCTATATCTAATTGATGATTTTTAGAGCTTTTAGACTTCCACTCGATTCCTCTACGGAAGTTTCAAAATGCGCACACTACATGTATAATTAATTTCAAGGGCAGTGCGTGCCTAGACAATCGAGAGAGTCTTAGTTAGGTACCTATTTAGTTCTAGTA